AAAAAAAAAAAAAAAAAAAAAAAAAAAAAAAAAAAAAAAAAAGAAGAAGAAGAAGAAGAAGAAGAAGAAGAAGCAGATTGGAGAATAGAAATGACTTGTGTGTCAGTGGGATAAGAGACTGAAGAATAGGGAGTGAAGGGCAGAAGTATATAGACCAGGTTTTTCATGGGCAAGGTACTGCTGAAGTGCGGAATTTATTTATTTATTTATTTTTTTTATTTTTTTCAAGAAGTGTGGAAAGTTGGAAACCAAGAGGCAAGAGAAGATGAAACAAAAGCATGGACCTTTTTTTTTTTTTTTTCTTCCAGGTTGTTGCAGGGGCAAGGTGCTGAAGAATAGACCAAGAAACAAAATGATAGCAAGCTACTGAAGAATAGGGACCAAGGAACAAAACTATAGACCAGGTTCGATGCACTGGGAACCGAAGAATAGGGAGCAAGGGGAAAAACTATATAGTATAGACCAGGTTCAGGGAGAAAGAATAGACTTTTACTATGAAAAATAAGAGACTGACTGTCACCACTGCATAGACACAAGAAAATCATTATAAAAAAAAAAAAAAAAAAAAGTTTCAACGTACAAAAGAAATTAAATGCAATAGCTGGCAATGCGTAGTCGCCAAAGTGTTCCACGCGGAATTTGATTTACCCAGAAAGGAAAGTAAAGGAGAGGAATCTCTCGCGGTTGATCCACCTGGTTTCCTAATATGGAAAGCGGTCGCTGGCTCTATCCCTCTGCAGCAGCATACTGCGTCCTTTTCCCTTCAAAGTCCGTAGTGAACGGCATATTCCCAATTAGGAAGGACTTGTGTGAGATCAGACAACTGTTTTCCCGATGGGGAAAGAAAGAAATCATTTTTTTGTAGTTCCCAAAAAGAAGGAAAAGGAAGAATCACTGACTGAGATTCCTGAATTCTTCCCTTAAAAAAAAAAAAAAAAAAAAAAAAAAGCAAGGTGAAATTTCCATTAAAAGATGAGGGAACTGCCAGGAAACAGGACCGATGTCCCTTACACCGCTCCCAAAGCCAAGACGTGAAACGCCGCCGAACATTCAGACAAGCCTTTTTTCTTTCCTTTTTTTTCCTTTTTATTTCCTTTTTACGCCTTTTAGAAGGGCAAATTCAGGCCTTTTCCAATCTCCACGCCCAGCATTTCTAGTATTGGTTTGTTTGCTATCTGTAAAAAAAAAAAAAATCCAGAACAGAAGAACAAAAAAGGACACAACGAACATCATGTCAGTGCAAAATCTCCGGAAAATTGTAGAAACGATAAACAAAATAAAAAAAACAGAATTCGCCAGAAACCGTCAGTGACACAAGTTTTTTTATCTTTCATTTCTTTTGTTTTTTGGGAAAGAGGCAATGATTGCTGCTGTTTTTTTTTTTTTCCATAAAGCCCAGGTTGTTGTACAGGTGGGATACTAGACCAATGACAGTTATCCACACTACTCGGCCACTTGGTTGTCCAGCTGAATCCCTCTGAAAAGACCCCACCCACCCTTCCTCTTATCATTTTTGCCCTGGCGCACCCCCAACCCCCCTGTCCTACCTCCCTAGTGTTAAACCACCAGTACTTAGCCCAGTTATCGATGCCGAGCCTGGAATGCCCCTGTGCGCCAATTTTCGCCAAAGCGCCGGGGTACCGTTTTGAAAAAAATTTGGCTGGCGCTTCCAGCCATTGTGGTCCGGTACCCCGAAGCCCTAAACGCAAGGCCCGTTAACAGGAAACCGCCGCGGCTGATAGCTGGGCCAAGTACTGGTGGTTTAACCACCGGGGACCACCACCCATTGCCATATTGGCAGGGTGACCTG